CTACTGGCCCTGCACTGAGACATGCCATGGGAGAAGTAGTGGGCTGGAAATTTAGACACACACTATGTTTTAGACTGCTAATTACATGACATTGAGGTAAGTAGTTGGCTTTCCTACTGGAGAACATTCCTCGTTGGACTACTCCTTCTCTGTGTCAAATTCACCCACCTTATGCTGAGTGGATCGGTATGGTTGAGCACTCCAGGGCCACAGCAGGCTTGAGGCACTATTTGCCCTGCTCTTGGAGCTGGAAAGGATGACTGCCTCTTCTGGGAACAATAAAAGGGGAAGTGAGGCACCTTGCACACTGTCAGGGCAGGACTGTACAAATGTGTGGTGGCTGTTACTCCCTACTCCCAGTTATGAGGGCCTCACAGGTGATAGGCAGTGACTCTAAATTAGAGTTCCTGCCCCATGGAGTCAGTTTTTCTACTGAGAGGTCACTCTGAGGTCAAAGCACACAGAGAGGAGGCAGTGATTTGCATCCACTGTGTCAAAAACCCCCTCCCCATTATCAGCCTGAGGCTGGTGCTGCCTGATGTCCATATTCACGCCTTGGCTGGTTTCAAACTCAGACTTCAGGAAAGGGAGTGATGGACACTCCCTGGACTACAACCTTTGTCCCATCTACAGGCTATAGTGATCAACTTCCCTTCCACATTCCTGGAGACTGAGGTCTTTCCTTGATTTTGACCAGTCAGTTGCCTAGGACATTTCCAGGACTTAAGACGTTTCTCCACTCAGCTTACTTGGAGGCAGAAGCTAGGGCTGTGTGAGGAAACCCAGCTAGATGAAGAGGGAGAGGAATGTAGACAGCCAAATCTAGGACAGCCCCTAGACTCATGGAGGACACAGATCCTTGACTTACAACAGTGTACTCCCCAGAGCAGGCAGCCAACTCCATGTCAGAACTCTCAGGTCTCTATGAGAAAGACTGGCCTTCACAGAGTCCTAGCACAAGACAAAAATGGTAGGCTGTGGACCTGAAGTTAAGTGTGACTGAGAGTTTCGGGGAACCTTGGAGGTAGGCTACAAAAGGAGCCAGGGCCAGAGATGGAGGCTGATAATGTGGAGCTACAGAAATAGAAATTAAATCAAATGTTTTAATCCTCCTAGATGCCTTAGTAGCAAACTAGCCTCAGGCTCATCTTTAGGCCCTTGAGTCCTGGCACAACCTGAGAGCCTGACAGATCTTTCTATGTCTCTTATGCCTATGCTCTCTTGAGAGTCTATCAGTAATATGCAGACTCTACGGCATTGGTATTGAATACCTTCTCCATTCCAGTTGGAGAAAATCAGGACCCAGGAGAAGAATGGTTCAAGAGCAAAGTTGGGGGCTTCTCCCATCCCTACAAACATCTAGGGATACCTCACCAGCTCCCACAGAATCCTATCTAATGCAGCTCAGAGATTCATGTTTGCAAGTGCTTCTCCAGTCATAGTCGCTCACTCATATGAGACCACTCCTGGTTGTTGCTCAGCCATCTCTCTGATACAAGTGCAGCCAGCCTTCCTGGCCCATTGGGTGCAGAAGGACCATTGAGCTCTCTGAGAGTGGCAGTCAGAAGGTTCTGGACTCATGACTCAACCATTTTTCCCACCAAGCAGTTCCTTGAAAGCCCCATAGCATAGGAACCTGAGTCATACGGACATCCTTTGCCTCCTCCACACATCTGCCACCATAAACAGCCAGAGGGGATGCTAGGACCTCGTGAGGTAGGCAAGTGACTCAGGGTCAGGCTACTTCAGCTCTGAGTTCAAGGGAAGGAAGATGGGTCACAGGAAATGCAAGGGCCATATGAGCTTAGGAAGTACCTGTGGGTAAGCTTCTAACTTACAGTATTAGTACAGTAATGTCTCTGGCCATATTCCCTTTGAAAACTTCCCAAGTTATAACCACCATAACCCCGGGATCCCCACACTCCAAAACAAAGGACAACTTAAAGGAACCTCTTAAGTTTTAGCCTCTTTCTGCTATTTCCTACTGGAAATAGGACCCATAGGGCAAATCCAGTTGTGATGGTCAGTTTTATATCACAAGCTAGAGTGATTTGGGAAGAAGAACTCTCAATTGAGAAAAGGCCTCGATGAGATTTGTCTGTGGACAAGTCTGTGGAGCATTATCTTGGCTGATGATTGACAAGGGAGGGCCCAGCCCACCGTGGGCGGTACCAATTCCAGGCTGGTGGTCCTGGGTGCTATAAGAAAGCCATCTGAGCAAGCAGCAGCACTTCTTCAATGGCCTCCGGATCAGCTCTTGCCTCCAGTTTCTACCCTGGCTACCCTCGATCATGGGCTGTGATATGGAACTGTAAGTTTCAACAAACCCTTTTCTCTCCAACTTACTTTTGCTTATGGTATTTATCATAGTAATAGAAACACTAACTAAGACACCATCTGAGATTTGGTTCCCACTTTACAGACCCCAAGGGAGGCCCAGATTCAAGAGAATCTCAGAGTTCATCTTGCCCATTCTCTGCCTCTAGACTGGAAGAAACAACAGCCCAGGGGATGGGTCCAGAGAAGGCAGGATGCCAACATAGCTGACACTGGGGGCAGGGTCGCAGTCTGGCCTGGCTGGTGCTGACGTTGTGTTGTATGTGACATGTGTGGTATGAGGTTGAGTCCTGATGAATTGCAACAAGAGAGCCTGAGCAAAGTAACTTGGATATCAACCAAATCAAAGGAAACCGATACTGTGCATTAAAAGCTGCCCTGGCCTTATTTAGACCGACTGGGAGACAGCCCTAGCCCTGTACAGTTTCTGGCCTCCTCCTCTCTATTCTCAGGGCTGAACTTGCCTCCAACTTGAAAGGGCTAATTAAAGCCAAAAGAAAAAAATCAAAAGCTTGTTATCTAGCTCCATTACTCTCAGTTCTGGCATTGGTCTGTCTCTCAAAGCCGTAGTCACTCTGTTCTCTCCAAGGATACCATGCAGTGTTAGGGCCTACTGCTCTGCAGACCTTGGTGGTGAACTGGCTTTTGTATTATGGCAGGAGCAAGGGCAGGATAGATGCCTGCCTGTTCGTGCCATCAGGTGGATCCCTGCAGATGCTGTTTCTCTCCAAAACAAAGCCCCAAACAATTTCGAGCAAGTTTTCTACAGAATACTGTCAGAGATCACTAAACCTTCTTATCTCAGAGCAACTATCTACTTAGTGAGCACACATCACTACCACGTCTTCTTGTGCAAACAATGTATGCACATGGGTGTGTAAATGCATTGGTGGAGACATTTACTGTGTGTATCCAAGTACGTCAGGGTACTCAAATGTAAAATGAAGACTTAACCAAGGGCTATGGGTTGGAGTTCACCCCCACCCAAATGCAGATTTAAAATTCGGTTGCCTTTTAACTGTCATAGGAGCTACTGGGTTAACGAGGCTGGGAAGGAGCTCAGTGGCTAAAGCATTTGTTATACAGAATGAATCCTGATTTCAGAACCACAGAAGCCCACGTTAAACACGAAGTGGGCATGATCACATACCTATAATTCCATTCTTGAAGGCTGAGACAGAGGGAATCCTCTGAGTGAGCTGGCTAGCAAAATTAGCCAGGGTTTGATTGAAAGGCTCTGTTCTGAAGAATAGGACAGGAGAATGACTGGGAATGATCCCCGTATCAACCTGGGCCCACACAAACATCTACACACTCATTCCTACCTTCCACAAAGCACTGAAAAAGAAAATAAACAAGGCAGGGTATTTAAGAAGTGGTTAAGAAGTAGATTGACTGTTTCTGTTTTGTTTGTTTTGTTTGTTGAGACAGGGTTTCTTTTCCTAGCCCTGACTGTCCTAGAACTTGCCTCTGTAGACCAGGCTAGACTTGGTCTCACAGACTGATCTGCTTCTACCTCCTGAAGAGTGCTGTGATTAAAGGTGTTCAACACCATTCCTAGCTTGAATTAATTGTTTTATTGTGCGAGTTAAGGATGAGATCAGTCACCTCTTATTCTCCTTCTCTTCATCCTCTTGGCATGGCATGATATAGCAAGTGGGTCCTCAACAAATGCACTCTTGAGTGTGGACTATGGCAACCTCCAAAACTATGAGAAATGAATTTCTGCTCATGGTTGGTGGAACAGTCTTGGCATTCCACTAGAGAATTATGAGGGTTCTCTAGTGGTCTTCTCTATACTAGTCTTCTATTGCTTCTCCCTCCTGAGGTATGTCTAAGTGTGACACACACACACACACACACACACACACACACACACACACGCAAAGACACACACACACACACACACACACACACACACACACACACGTAAACACAGAACAAATATGGTTCATTACTATCCACATTTAGGAACAGTTCAAAAATCCCCCAGATTCTTAACAGTCCCATAAGACCCTCTTGACTAGATCAGCTACTACCCAAAATGAATGGCTCCAGAATTCTTGCTTTGAATTCCCATCCTGAAAGACTGTAATCTGTAAGCTGAAATAAACCCTTTCCCCTCCAAGTTGCTTTTAGTTGTGGTCTTGATCATAGCAAAGAAACCTAACTACAAAGACAGATGCTGTTCCCATGGCACTATGAACACAGAGGATGCTTTATAACTATGCTTGATCTCTTCCTATCCTAATAACTCTCATTTTCCATTTATAAAAATATGCAGGGGGCTAAAATAAACCACAATTCTCTGAAATCCCATGTCCACCTCAAATGTACCATGACTTCTCATGTTAACACTTGCCTTTCCCAAATCTTCCATCATTTTCTCTAAGTTGCTCCGCCATGCCCAAATGCAAAGAACATCAACTTTACATGTTTCCACACATTTCCAGCCCTGTTTCTCATAACCAGGAAGGAGAAAGAGAACAGAACAGGGCACCAATAGGAAACCCACATTTTAGCTCTAATGGAATCTAATGGTGATAGTCCAAATCAAAAAGACCCAAGATGGAGGCCCATCAAAACTCCATGGAGGCTACAAAGCCGGGGTCCTTATTTCCCACACCCCATTTTCCAGGCCCACAGGATCCCCTCTGACTCACCGCACTGCTGCAAGGGATGTCCTTCACCTTGAGCCAGGCCAGGTCCAGTGTTCCCTCACCTCGGTAACAGGACTGTAGGCGCTCCTTAATACGGTCATTGATCTGTTTCAAGATGAAGATGCACAGGGCAGACTCATCCAGAGATTTCATCTTCCGCTTCTGGCCCTTGGAGAAGACAGTGAAGAGGAGGTCAGCATCTGGACGGACTCCCAGGGTCCGGCCCAGCACAGCACCAGCTTTAGATAGGTAGGCAGCCTGGAGCAAGCGATATTCCACCCCATTGCGCTCACAGCCAATGGGCACCTCCACGTAGGAGTTGAAGGCTGTGTCCTCTTTGCAAAGCCTCACAAGCTTTGACGTGTACACCTGCTCCTTTGTTGTGGAGCCTGGGGGAGACACCATCTCTGGCTGAAGGGTCAAAAAGTAGACAAAGTTGCCACTGCTGAAGCCATAGACATAGTAGATGTCAAAGTCAGGGATAACTGTGAAGGTGTCTGAAGGGATCTTGATCATAGAGGCCACAAATTCATCATGGAAAACATAAGCAAACATGCCATCTGCCTCAGAGTTCTTAGTCAGCTTCCGGCTAGAGATGGTAGGAAAATATTCAGGCTTGCCATCCACCGCAGTGGCAATAAAGAGTTTATCATCCAAATTGCTATAGGAGACGATCACCCCAAAAACAGAGCCACTCTCATTAACCCCTGAGAGGTAATGTTCTTTCTTGTGGAAGGGCTCTCCCAACTTGAAGAGGTCCTCTAGCCTGAGGAGCTTGCAGATACCCTGGTACAAGCTTCCACATGCAATCAGCCTATTTTCTTTGTAGTCTATAAGTAGCATCTTGTTGACATTATTGGTGCTGGCCAGGGGCTCATTGCAGGTCTGAACAATACGAGGTGGGTAACACTTGGGGTTGTCCTCGTCTGGCCCTGTCTGATGAGTCACCAAGACTTTGAGGTCACTAGAGAGTTTGTAGATCCTGTTGACAGCCCCCAAGTAAATGTGTCCTGTCCTCTCATCCACCACAAGGTGATTGAAGCCCTCGGTGGGCTCCCCTCGGAAAGTGACAAAAGAGCGCTTCTGAGACAGCTGTGGTGGCTGCCTTGAAAGCAGAGTAGAGGAGCCCATCCCCACCACCAGCAGGTGGGACAACAAGCAAGTCCAGTTCCAGGGCATGGCTTTCATCTCAGAGCGGGGGCCTGTCAACACAGCAGCAACCAGCACAACTCAGCAGGGCTGTCTCCCCTAGGAAAGAAAGAAGATTAAAATGTGAGTAAACCATGGAAGGGCTTTGTAATGCCTACAGATCTTCCGGAATTTAGTACATACATGGAACCGACTTGTTCTGGGAAAGCCAGAGGCCAGCGGATCCAGACCCAAGTAGAGGTGTATGAGATGCTATCTTGGTGGTGGCAGCTCTAGTACTCCTTATCAATAATCATGATGGGTGATAAAAGTGATGAGGATGAAGATGATAGTGGTGATTGACGTTAAGTGTCTGGTTTTACACCAGTCTCTGGCCAGTACCTCTGGATATTGTCTTACTTCATCTTAGTAACCCTTCCATGACATATCTTCCAACTGGCTTTCTAGAGCTAAGGTCTGCACTTAACTGTGAACACAGAGTTGACACACATGGACCCTACATGGATGGTTCTCTGTAGCAGGTCCAGACTTAGTGATCCTAGTGAAGGGCATCAAGAGAAGGCTAGAGGATGAGCCATCTACACTTGGGCTTTCCTCTGCCTCTCTGTCTCCATGTTCAGTGGCCCATCCCCCACCTCCTTCATTAGACCTAAGAGAGAGGCCTAACTCAAAAATGCAACACTAAGCTGGGTGGTGGTGCACACCTTTAATCCCATCTTCAGAAGACAGAAGCAGGAAGTTCCCTGGAGGTTCAAGGCCAGCCTGCTCTACAGAGCTAGTTCCAGAACACCCAGGACTACACAGAGAAACCTTGTCTCAAAAAGAAAAGGAAAAAAGGAGAGAAAAACTAGCACTAACCCATGAAGAAACCAGTCTTTCACAAATACTCTCATTAATTTCTGCTCAAAAGACCAAATTTGCACAACTTGTTTCATACCACAACCTTAACTGCTACCTACAGAAGCCTATGGTCATTTTATACCACATTTTACAGCTGAGGAATGTGAGCCTAGGGCACTTCTGTGACTTGTACCACCAAAAATGGGAAAAGGTAGCTGAAGTAATTCACAGTAGGCCCTTAACCATCTCATTTGACCCCACAGCAAGGGATGGACTCCACTTCCTGTTATCCACAACAGAACCGCTAAGGCCACCATTATAACTGCGGTCCCTGACTGGCTTTGTCCTTCATGCCTCCTCTGCCAGGCAGTTCAGGGAAGTTAAACAAAAAGCCTACATCCTTCAAGTTGTGATGACCACCAGCCCCCCTGGGTACGCTAACCACCCAGGTATGGGCTCTCCTTAGCTGTCTTCTATGGTGGGGACTCCTCTGGCTCCTATGATTTTTCTTTGAAAGGAGAGGAAAAGTGCTTTCAGAAACCAGTGGTCCAGCAAATAAATAAATAAATACATAAATAAATAAACAAATAAATAACCTCTAAGGCACAAAATTGCCATCCATCCTAGCAGTAGCCTTCATTTCTATTTAATATACTTTCTGCATGTGTTTCCAAGGGGACAGCACCACATTTCTCCCGGCTTGGATGAAATAAAGACTGGTATTGTCAATATCTTATTTAGGGATATTTCAGCTCTGTAGGTTTTCTCATTTCCCCCAAGCTCCTAAAAATGAGGTTATGGGATGAGGTTAAATCATTAAAGTAATAGTAGTCACCCCAGCAGGAAGAAAGGACAGGTTAGCTGGACACCCAAAGAAAAGAAAAATAATAATAAAGATTTACATTGTCAGCCAACATCCTAAGAAAAAGCATCTCGACGAGACATGAGAGGAAGAAGCCTCTAACAGATGGGAATCCTACCCTAACAGCAGTCTTATAAACAAAGGGCCTTCGTTTATCTACCCATGTGGTTCAAATGTGTACTCAGAGCATGTGCATACAGGCACCATGTTGTAGGATTCTTGGGTGCGGCTGTCAAGTCACTGTTAATCCATGTGAAAACCACCAGAACCTATCTATTACATGAGATGAAGTTGTGTGACATATGACAGTGTGTGTTGAGAGTTCTTATTTGACGAGAGGGAACAAGGAGCAGACTTTTGGAGACCTTGTCAGGGGCAGAGTTTGAGCCAAACCATGAACTTGGAGAAGACATTCAAAGCTGGAAGAAAAGTGCCTTCTTGTGAGAGTGTCCACGATGGGATTAGCCAACCAGGGTGTGAATGAGGAAGCCTAGGCATGGAGAACACAGCCCAGGAAAGAATCAGGAAGAGGGTATGGCAGAAGAGAGAAAGCCATGAGCCCCTGTCAGGATATCACTTCAACGTCAAGACTAAAATGCATGGAGCTGTGGGGAAGAGGACAAACTAAGAAAAGCCAAGAAGCCCTCCCCTTCGTTGGAAGAGAGATTGGAGCTGAGGATTGGTGAGATCCAGGAGCCAAACAGGTTCTGTCCTAATCACTAGTGCATCCCTATCATCAAAGCCCTGCCCAGTACCCAGTGGAGGCTCAACAACTATTTCTTGACTGGCAGAAAGAGGGGTCAGAAGCAACAGGAATAGCAATGCCTTGCCTATATCCCAGGCCCCCCACAAGGTAAATGCTTTCCCCTGCTTAGCTCATAGGATCATCATGGCTGTTCCTGTTCCTCCTCTGCAGATGAGGTATCAAGTTCTTCAAGGATATGTGGCCAATGAGGGACAGAGTTGGGGATGGGATCCAGGTCTATACTAGTGCAAAGTTCATACACTTTCTAGAAATGCTTCATTCCAGAACCCAGAACCCAGAGCCCTTGGAGTTGAATTCACGAAAGTCCCAAACACAGTGGTCCCAGGATACCATCTACCAAATCCACAGGAATGGAGATTCCTGTTACACTACCTGGGAGGTGACACACGTCAGTGGGTGCTCTCCCATGAAAATTCTGAAAGTATTAAGAGCACCTGACATGAGGACTATGTTCATCACACAGTAGATGCTTAGCTGTTGTTAGTAAGATTGAAATTGGATTCAAAGATGAGATTTATGATAAGCGGATGGTACCTATTGGTTAAAAAATCCTGAGGACAAGTGATGGAGAGTCCAGACAGTTCCTCTTGAACTGTCTTTCCAAATCCAAAGAGCAGCAAGGATTCTAGAAATTTGTTTTCTGAACTAGGTAATCTGATTTAATGCTACTCACAGCCCTGATTTCAAAGGCAGTGGCAGTGAATCGATGAAGATGAAAGTTGGGGAGATAGCTCAGTTGGCAAAGTGCTTGCCATGGTCCAATGAGAACTTGAATTTGACCTCCAGAAAACATGTTAAAAAGCCAGGCATGCCAGCATATGTTTATAATCCCAGTCCTAGTGAGGGAAAGACAGGAAGGTCCCTGGGACTCCTTGGCCAGTCAGCCTGATATAATCAATGAGTACTAGGCTAGTGAGAGACCCCATCTCAAAAAACAAGGCAGACAACAACAAAGGAAAGATACCCAAGGTTGACCTCTGACCTCTATATGTACATGCAGAAAGACAAATGCACTAGCACACATGTATACCCACCCCCCACACATGACACAAACACAATCAATTAATCAATAACAAAACATAAATAAAAGATGGCAACGAGGGACTGCACAGACCACTGATTTGCCATTCAGTGCTCTTCCTATCACATTTGGCTTCTTCTGACTTTATCTAAACCTACTCCAACATCTGCTCCCCAGGCTTTGAGAGTGACAGCTATTCGGGCACCATATGCTATGCTGGCTAACAGGGCTCTCACTGCAGCTCTGCCAACAGCCAAATTCCAGAGGGGCTGGGGTACTGGCTGAAAGACACAGGCAGGTTGGGGCACAGCCACTAGCCCTTCGGGAGGGAAAGTTCAGCAGACCCTGCATCTGAGCATGCCACGTGCCTCACATTTGGCCCACCTTCCTGTACACACTCACAGGCCCACAGCCAATCCACCGCTCCCTAGTCAGTGCCAGGCAAGACAAGGCGGACCATAATCATGATTTTCCTGGGCAGGCAGAGGCCACAGCTCATTCTCCGTCTTCTATTCGCCATCACAAAAAAATGAGACACAGTTATGCATCTCAAACACTTATCACTTTTATCTGGGGATGGTGAAATTACTGTTCCTGGAGGGGCAGAGGAACTCGCAGAAACAGTAACACGTGATGGGAATGAACAGCCTCTCATTTTTTGCCCTAGAAAAAAGGATTGAGAAAGGAAACGAGGAACAGAAATGGAAAAGGAAGTGGTATAAACAAGCACGGGGCACAAGCTGGCTTACTGAAGACCCCACTGAGGGCCTGGCCAATGCCAGTCTCCCCACCCCAGCTCAAAGGTGGCCTTCTTCCCACAGAAGGGCAGAGACACTAGCCCCCTCTCACCCAGGGTCATCTAAAGTTGTTCTGGTCTCACAAAACTACAAATTTGGAGCTTCCAACGGGTGGAGGTGTCTAAGCCAGGACGTCAACCTATGTTAAGTGCAGGTTTTAGCCCAGGAGTGCCCTAACCCAATTTTCAAATAACTCCAATGTTTTCCAAAGGTCTTTCTGAACCAGGCAGATGGGCAGGATAGGGGACAGGACACTCCACAGACCAAATCAAACCCAAACACACTGCCACCTCCTCTTCATGAAATCAGACTTTAATTCTGAGTGGTCTCAGGGGAGATGGAACTCATTTTTAGAAGCTGATCATCATTCTGATTAAAGCAGTTGGGACTGCCTTTGTTTTATATGGCAAGTTTTGAAGAGCTCAAACTAATTTTCATGAAGTGCTACGTCCTCTCAGACTCCTGAGTGGCAGAAAGAAAGTTATTATAGAGCTGTTTAAAATAGCAATTAGCTCACAAAATTCCTTCAGAGTTTACACATCGTCTTCATGTACATTACCTCATTTTGATTTTATTGTTCACCAAGACTCTGTTGGGCTACCATTGAATGTTATCTCAAAGAGTACAGGCTAAGAATTGCTGGGGCCATCTTGTAACCCAAGGGGGAAAATGCAATGAAGGCCCTCAAACAATGAAGCTATAAGAGAACAGAAATGGTTAGAGGTGCCTGAATCCCAGTTCGGGTTATGTAGTTGTCTATATAGTGTGCATGACACCATCCGGGTGCCTGTCCTGCCCAGATAATACTTGAGC